ACAGGCGCAGACCACAATGAACGGTTGATCAATCATGCAAAATACAAAAAATGAACATATAACCTAGATGGCACGGTGTGGCTACCAAGAATATCAGCATTATGATACCGCGCCGGAAAATATCATCATTCAACTACTGATACCAAATCTACACGGAGAAAACTAAAAAGTAAAATGATTTACTTTACAGCAGCATTACGGAAATGTTAGATGGATATTTTGGCAGTTTCATACGTTGGGTTGTACCACTATACTGTCCTGTCCCTTTGCTCCAGTCAATTAGAAGGACCATTTAAACAGGTCACGCTTCCATGTATTTAATTGCCTGCAGTGCATAGGACCCAAGACAGCATCAGTGAACTGGGCGAGCAATGGCATATTCGAGTACCTACAAAACTGCCAATATCAGATTGCAAACGTATGGATAATAATATGACCCCGATGGCATGAGGTACAATAATACATAACTCCAATGCACTTGTTCGCCCTACACGGTGAAACACTGCATAACTCAAATGCATTGCATGCGCTTAACTACATTATAGCTGTTATTGTAATCGCTATCACCACCAGCCTTTGTCAACCCACTGCTGGATGAAGGCTTCTATAAGACTTCTGTTTCCTGCCATTGACTTGAAGGCCTTCATACGGGTCGTTTACTCTCCTATGGAACCTAGTCTAACGTCTCTCTGGTATGTAGTATATTTGTTTTCTTTGTGATTTTTCGAAGGACCTTCGCTGACCTTATTCAGGAGATGCTTTCTGCTGTTTCTGTAACTGCCTCAGTTATATCCTAAGACATTACGCTGACGTCCACTGCTTCTGCCGTTTCTTCTTGGAGAACGTCGAATCAGTTATTCAATTTTGGTTTGAATAATGGAAGATTCCCTTCTGTTTCCACGTAGAATATTATGTGTCTCGTTCTCGGCAATTTCATTCTTTCGAAAGCTGAGTCAAGGCCACTTTGCATTTGACAAAGCTGCGATCGTTCTCTGTGTCAAATCTTTTCTCTGAAAACGAAATCAATTTCAATCTTGACGCAGTTTCGGCCTTTCCATGCCCAAGCTTTGTTTTTTTTCTGAGGATAGGTGTTCATAATAAATATATTGTTTTTTCAGCATGCAGCGCTAGTCGGTCGTCGCTGTCCTTCCTTTCGCATTCCTTTGAAACTCTCAGAACCAGACCTGTACATCTTTCTGAAATGCTGTCCACTTCCACTATATTATACTTAACTGCATTCGTGAATAATGAATCCTAATCCACCTCATTTCCATTTGCCGATAGTCTATAATACAGAAGGCGCTTATTTTTAAGCTCTAATAGAATTTTCTCATTTCTTCTAACTTAGCTGAGTCCTACAATATCGCATTTGATTTTTCTAAGTTCTTTTTCCAGTTCTTGAAAACTTGCTTCTGCTAGAAGCAATTTGCAGTTGTACGTTGCTAACTATCGTAGCAATTCCTATCTGAACTCCAGTATTCTTAGCATTCTCTGCCTTCATACATGAGCAGCTGCTGTTTTCACGGGCAGTAATCCAGCCTCTGGAAAATGATGGCCGTGATTTCATCTTGGAGGATTTGGCCATAACTTACCACAGAGACCAGGTGGATTGGTTAGTGTTGCCTTTTTTACTTAGCCTGGCATATTTCTAGAGATTTCAAAGCATAGTTCAACCTGTCAAAGCCTAAAGGGTCAGCTACACATCGTCTTGAGAACCTACTGTCACCCTTCTAGTTCGATGAGGTAGTGGAAGTAGGACGTAGGATGAATCATGGAGCCGAGACCTGTTTAAATAGTCCCCTAGGCGACTAGAAGCAAGGAAGCGGTACAGTGTTGCGGTGCAACCCAGTGCAAAGACTGCTTACCGCTCATAATACTGTAGTATTGCTGTAAAGTACTTCGACGTTGCAAATACGAATTAAATTGCGCCGATGGAGGCAAACCAGTTAGGTCAAATCAGTCGGCTATTAAATTAAAATGCTGCTGCTTAAATGGAATCAGCAATGGAACAATAATGCATAACATTATCCAGCAGAGAAAACAGAATTACACCTCTGAAGGAAACGAAAATATCTGGCATTACATGACATGCGACAATAAACGGAACAAATACTATAGTTTTAATCAGGATTGGTAACAACATTGTAACAAACCTAACAACTCGAAAAGTTCAGGCTAAGTTATACACAGGACTACTTACCAAAACCATTTGGCTTTACGTGGTACAAAAACTTTCTTAAAACTATATATACGCTATCTGATTTACTTAAGTGTCTCTTAGGACTTAGGACAAGCAATCACTTTCAGCTGTTCAGGAAACGTCTCGTAAATATACAATAAATATACGATCAGCATAAAAACATGCATGAATGTACGAGAAAAAAGGATTATTCAAATTATTTACAACCCATTTCGGCTATATCGTTGTCCTTCCTCACAGCCAACGGAACATCGGCAAGGTGCGTATTCTGCCATGACTGACCGCATTAGCTTAGATGAGCTATGTCACAAGGGATCAATCACTGTGTTAGACCTAACCGTTTCTCGCATTAAGTTTTTTATTACAAAAGTTCTAAGCTAATCAGTGTTGTAAAATGAAATAAATGAAAAATAAAAACACAAACAAAAAACATGGAAATAATACTGAAAATATGACAGAATAAAGAATATACAAAAACACAGCACCATGAAAACAAAACTATGTTACAGTGAACATAGTTAAAACAGCGCTATTTAACAGCATACGGATCTTTAAATATCAGCTTGAGGAAACTTGGAATGACTACCAGTTAACACTAACAAACTTCGAACATCACAACGAACTTAACACTTAGTACTACTTTAGATACATCGAATGGTTATGTTATGTATGAAAGGTGACTGATGCCAATTTGGTAGAGACGTCGGATAAGTGCTAATTAGTGAATTTTCTTCCTGCCCGTAGTGTTATTTATCAAATAATTAGAGGGTCGCTTGCGATCACCCACGACACGGTATTATTATGAGTTTAACAAGTTTTTTACTTAAAATACAGATTTTAGATTAACGGGAATTTTACAAAATTAGAAGAAAAGTAATGTCTTTGCAGTAAGGAAACATCTTTTCTTAGCTTTCGCTGTACAAACAATTTCTTTATTTTACACCGACGCCTTAGTTTAGATCGATACCCCTGCAGTGTAAGACTGATTGGTGTTACTACACTAGCTTACATTATTGTTTCTAGTCGCCTGTGGCGTGTTAGCACAGTGTCTAAGAAGTCTATTTCGAACTCCGAAGATGCCAGGCTCGACTTGGCTCAAGGACAATCATCGTTTGATTCATGAATTTCCTTGAGGAAGGAATTTACCATATATAGCTTCAGACCCGGGTTGCTCAGTCGGTAGGGCATCAAACTCAAAGCCGATAGGTCCTCGTTCAAGTCTCAACCAGCCATTCATCTTTCCGAACGGAAGGAAACACAAGACCACACTCTACGCTTGCCGCATGGCTCTGCCTTTAAAATAAGGCACTGCTGGCTAATGACATAGAAACGGAGTTCAGACAGCACCTTCTACTTTATGAAAAGAAGGGCGCTAAAATGGCTCAATCATGAAAGTGAGGAAATACCGGCATTGTAACGGTGACAGATTTTCCTTTAATTCATTCCAGCCGCCTATTGTGGGCATACAACCAGGCTACAGTTCCATGGTACTTAAGTGCCTGCAGCGCAAAGTACGCATACGTAGCGTGACTGAGTGGGAACAAGCCAATACGTAGCTGTGACATGACTGAAGTGAATTCTCTACACTACAGAAAGACAGGTGCGTAATTTCATCCTCTAGTTCAAGAGGAAAAATAAACTGGTAATCAAAACAATGTCAGAATGGAAATAACAGTAATGCCTTCGACCCTTGAACACTAGCAAAAAACTTTACCGCGACGCTGGTTCAGATCGGTCGACATTCGGGCAGCACCTCCCATGCGCAATGACGGAGGCACATAAGTACCGCTTTTCATCTTTTCCTCAAGTTCCTTCTGACGAGCGTCCTTCGGGACTGAAACTCAAACACTGCACAGATGAACAACGAGTAAGCAGTAGCTTTACCGGTGCCTTCGGCTGCCGCTCTCTCGCCCTCGATGAAATCCTTGTATGGACACTGCGGTGTCCAGTGATCGGGACTTTTGCAGTAGCGACAGACCCTGATCTGTGGCTGAACCTTCAGCTTCGCAGCATCTGTCTCCTCCCTGTTCAACTCTGTCTAATAAAGCAAAACAACATCACACAAGAAGGCGCCCGAACGATGACTGACCGGTTCACCGGTCCGCGTGCGGACGAACTGCATTTTCACCTCTTCACCGAGGTTCGTGGTCGACTGTGATGATTCTTCACCTGCCAACACGGCAGCTTCACCGAATTTATGCCATTTCTGAAAATTCAATATTACATCACCCATATTACGGCCATCAACAACCTTGCGCAAAGCGACCGCTTTAGGCACTTTCTTCCTCTCGATCTTATACTGCATGAGAAGTCGCACCTTCTGGCCATTCTCGCCAAACTTGTAGTGCTTCACGGTCCGGATACCATCCTTGATTATTTCCTCCTCTTCCGGAAGTTCAGCTGAAATCAGATCGACAAAATAGAAATATTTCGAGGAGAATCATTGCTTACTTTCAGCTTCTACTTGTTCTGCCCAGCTTGGCTTTAAACCTCTATAAACGCTAAATTAAACAGTGAAACTATTTTAGATAAAACTACTCTATATGATCCAGTTCAACCATTTTTCTTCAGCGGGTGCTAATTCAGAGTGAAGTGATACTGTATGATTTACAGGCATTAATTCTAAAAAATATATACCTTCACTTTTAAATACGTATATTTAATGCACTCTGAA